TCTCTGTGGAATGTTGCAGCACTTCAGTAGCTCACATGAATCCGTGCGGAGTTGAAACTGAAGGCACTAGTGAACTTGTTTTTAAATACCAAGTTCTGAAGTATCCCCGCCCACGGCGTTTGTTACTTTTGGTTGTTTTCTACCGGAACGCTGCGTTAATGGTCGAAAATTCAGCCGCGGTGTGCTCATTCCACGCCTCCTGGCACCGCCTCGTCGGATTGCTACGATATGTGAGACTGGGTGCTTCGCCTTCGTTCACACTAGGAGAGTTCCCACGCGCTCTATGTCAGGACTGAGTACTCAAAGCCGTGCATTAACACGTCGTTTTAGACAGTCTGAGATAAAAATCGAGGAAGAAAATTCAATAGATGCTCACTGTGCTCTGAAGCATTCCCTGGAATGATTGTTAGTAGCGAGTCTTCTTCGAGAAGAATAACAACATCCGAGTGAGTGGCTTCACAATGAGGAACCTTAAAAATAGTTTTGAGACATCAGGGTAAAATCAGTTTTTCGGGCTCCGGGCGAAACAGTAATGGCTGCTAAACTCCTCAACAGGCAACGTTTTCAATAAAAGAAATAATTAACAGTAATAATAGTGAATGCAGCCTAATCAAAGTACGATCTTCTTTGAAAATTTGATATTGAGAACTCGTTCACAAAACACCTTTATTGGTGAGCTTTCGCTGTCTTAACAGCTTCCTCAGACCTTAAATAAAATCAAGTACACATGGTATTACAATTCCTAACAACTAAGTTGCTCGAAATACAAACCAGGTTGACCTGCCCGTCAACGGCAATTTGGTTAGAGTCTGTAATACCAATGTCTAATACAATGGGGAAACGTGACCCAATTGTCAACCAATTTAACACTACACATGGCCATTGACCAGCTTACCCCAGCGCAACTGCCAATGCAACTAAAAGTCGCTAGAAATGTGACGCGCGTGACATTTGGCACATTTCTTTATCACTACCGCTATCCTATTAGCCTCATTGCTTCCATGAGCTCCTCCCTGTTGTTGATCTCGTAATCATAGTGAATGCAGGAAGAAAACACCCGATCCCCAGTCGGAGGTAACGCTACAGCGGGTAGGTGACTAGCAGAATGCTCCCCAGTATAACTAGAGCCCTTCCATGCTGAATCGTGCGTGGGAAACGGTCTCTTCAACAGCTCCTCTACAGCGTGGATGTAACGTCCAGCAGCCGTTTGGAATTGTTGTTTATTTTTTGTTCTATCTACCAAAATAGGAAGGGAAACCATTTTTTAACTACAGAAAGCTGCTTATTTAGATCCCCAGGGTAACATTCTGATCAACAGGATATCTGACAGGACAATAGTAGTGATATGCCGCGTTGGTGGGCGTCGCGGGTGACGCCGCGCTCGACGGGCGAGTTGTCCCATCTGGCCGTTCGAATTTGGGTGTTTACAGAAGGGAACTTTAATATCGCTCGTCATACAGCCTTCTTTCCGCACGCATACTTACGAGTTTCGCCAGCCCCACTGACAAACTGAAACAGATCCAAAATTCACCGCTTATCGTCGCACGATATTCCGCGCGGAACGACGCGACAATTCACGCTTGCAATTTAGATTGTCCTGTCGGTTCACTGAACAAAAGCAGGACACAGATGCCTTGCACGCTCAGGGCGGAACAGGATTTATAAAATTTCCCGGGCAATAGGAGCCTTCTGTGAGTACGAAGTGCACCTTCATCTGGGAACATGCAGCTCAGCACCTCAATTCTCAAAAAGCAAACCTCAATAATATTCCTTCCCGATGTTTCATTCCGACTGATATTCAGTTCGAGGTCGATAGTGAAGTTATGAAGTTCGACGACAAAACTGCCTGCAAAGTGGTAGTTTCGGACTTCAACGAAACCCTGCTATTAATTTTGAAATGGATCTCTAAGTCCAGGTGAAATAATAGTTGCAAATGGTAAAAAGAAACGTTAAAACGAGAAAATGGACGAGGCCCTCAAGTTTTAGAGATAATATCGTCAACGATCTTGCTGGGTGTTATCACAAAGGCGATGGATCAGTCCCATTCGCGGCGTGTTTCTAACCATCTGCTTCGTTCTCTACCCCAACTGGGCCACCCAATTGGTAGACAACGCAGCAGCGCCCTGTCCGTTCGATTTGGACTTTCAGGTATTGCCACTTTCAGACCCTTGCGTCATTGGGGTCCTTGCGCGTAAAAACCGCGTTACAAGCAGCTACGCAAGCTTCTCTACGTCCTTTGCACGCATATCGCTGCCTGTTGTGAGTACAACATTCAGCAGGTCGCCTTCAAAAAATTTGTTACGGAATTGCAGTAATGTTTTTATATGTTTGTGAATTCAGAAGGCTCAGGCAGGATCGCCGACTGTTTTAGCAGTAGCGACATTTCTATTTCCTTAGAGACCTGTACCCTTGACTCGAATTAATACCAGCATTAGCGTTATTGGTGAAAAGGCGTTTGAGAGTTAGCTCCTAGAATGTGCGGCACAATGCTGTTTCACCAATGGAGCCTGAATGCTGTCAGGCTGTTAAGTTACCGGTGCCTCTGACTACAGTTAATATTGTGGTAATCAGTTGGGGCGGTTTCGGGAGGGATGGAAGGAGCCGACCCGCCTCGTTTCCACCAGTGGTTGTTTTCTCCCTAAATCGACCGCGAACCGATCACCATTGGTAGGGCAAGGCAGCCAAAGGGGGTCTCACTCAGCCCCTCCTGACACCGCCCCGATGATTGCAGTGATAACACCTGTTGTCTTCAGGAGATGGTGAGTATAATTGGCGGAATTTGTTGCAAAGGATCTCAAAGTTCAGAGTGCTCATATTCCTTTCGCATCTGTTGTCCCGCAGTGTTTGCTATTAGAGAGTCGATTTTTGTTGAAAATGGTATAGTCAAATTATCTCTATATATTCAACCTGACTCTGACCTAGCTCTAATTAGTCGTTTTAAATCAGAATAAATTGAAATAGGACTCGATTCAACGCGTAGTTAAACTAAAAATAGGAAAATGTGAAAGAAGTTGAAGCAACCGACCATCAAGTGTGAAAAATGAATCGACGCTGCAATCGGCACTTGTTCTTAGGAACGGAAGGCTGACGTTTGCACGAACACCTAAAAACAGAAAGCACATGATCAGGTATGAAGAATAAATTCGGTTAGTTCTTGTTCGTCTCTTACTTGAAGCAGCCTGGAGCGCTCCAGGCATGATTCTCTGCACTTTTTCCATGCTTAAGCTGTCTACACTTTTAACCATCCCCCTCCCACCTACTTGCGACGTTCTCGACGACCCATCGAGGAATGTGTGTCATTGCAGGAGTTTCGTAGAAGAAGTAGCTCAATCAGAATTTATTTGGCACTATTCGCGGATTACTCTCCAAAAGCCTAAGCGTACCATAGAAATACGAAATGGGAACTTTCAAAGCGGCGCACGGGATCCACCCGGGGTGCACGAACAAATGGGAACGCACCTTTGTCTCGTAAGAACTTCGCATGAATTGTCGGCTTCTCCACTCGATTGATGTGAATTTTTGATATGGTGGCTGAACTAACGGTGACGTCCGGTATGTGCATATTGTTCAGAATCTTCGGCAAGGCATCACTAGCGAGCTCTGTAAGGTTTAAGCTCACGAGCACTATAT